CTTTGGAGACGATTCTCAGCAAAGAAACCTCCAAACAGATTTGGGACTCAATGAAGAAGAAATTTCAAGGGAACGCTAGGGCAAGACGAGTGCAGCTTCAAGCCCTACGGAGTGAATTTGAGACTTTACGCATGAAGTCGGATGAGTCTGTCACAGATTTCTTTGGAAGAACGATGATCATAGCCAACAAAATGAGAATTCATGGAGACAAGATGGATGATGTGACCATTATTGAGAAGATTCTTAGATCAATGACAACTAAGTTCAATTTTGTTGTTTGCTCCATTGAAGAATCCAAAGATATTGATTCACTCACGATTGATGAATTGCAAAGTTCCTTGTTGGTTCATGAGAATAAAATCAGCAAACAAGACAAAGAGGAGCAAGCACTTAAAGCATCGACTTATTCAAATACCTCTAATTTTAGAGGAGGCCGAGACAGGGGCAGGGGCAGAGGAAGAGGTCGAGGCGGTTACGGTAGAGGCGATAATGGTCGTAGCAGCAACCATAGCAACAATCCCGCCAACCACCAGAATTTAGACAACTCAGGAAGAGGAAGAGGTCGAATGGGCTATCGTGGAGGTAATCATTCAAACAATTGTCGCCCAAAATCTAATGTTGAGTGCTATCGCTGTCATAAATATGGTCATTATCAGAATGAATGTAGAACTTACTTGAATTGCCAAAATGGAGAAAGGAACAACTTTGCAGAAAGAGAAGAAGAGGAATCTCTCTTGATGGTGTGCAATGTAACCGAGGAAATTCCAGATAATCTGTGGTATTTGGATACGGGCTGCAGCAATCACATGTGCGGTGATAAGACAATATTTTCATATTTGGATGAGTCTTTTCTGAGCACCGTCAAATTCGGCGACAACTCCAAAATTAATGTTGCTGGAAGGGGCAATATTATTTTCAAGGCCAAGGGAAATAAAAGTCACAAGATCTCCGATGTCTTCTTTGTCCCAGAATTGAAGACCAACTTGATTAGTCTAGGACAACTTCAAGAAAAGGGGTACGAGATTCTGATCAAGAATGGTGTTTGTCGGGTTCAAGACGAAAAATTAGGGTTGATTGCTCAAGTTAAAATGACAGATAATCGGTTGTTTCCGTTAAATCTGCATAGATCCACCGGTTCTTGTTTCTCAGCAAAGATTCAAGACTCAACATGGTTATGGCATTTTCGCTATGGTCATCTCAATTTTGGAGGATTGAAAACACTGCAGCAGAAAAATATGGTGACAGGTCTTCCGGAAATCGCACCTCCAACTCAGATTTGTGAAGATTGTGCTGTCAGCAAGCAGCATCGAGACTCTTTTCCATCTGGAAAATCCATCAGAGCCAAGAAAGTGCTAGAGGTGGTTCATTCGGACATTTGTGGCCCTCTAAATCCAATCTCGAATGGAGGTAAACGGTACTTTATTACTTTCATTGACGATTACAGTAGGAAGACATGGGTGTATTTTTTGAAAGAAAAATCTGAAGCATTTGATGTTTTCAAGACATTTAAAGTGTCTATTGAAAAGGAAAGTGGATGTGTGATTACGGTTCTGCGAACAGATCGTGGTGGAAAGTATATGTCGCATGAACTCGCAAAGTTTTGCGAGAATCATGGAATTCAAAGACAGCTTACAGCAGCATATTCACCTCAGCAAAATGGTGTTTGTGAGTGGAAAAATCGCACTATTATGAACATGGTTCGAAGTTTGCTAAATAGAAGTGGAATCTTTAAAACTTTTTGGCCCGAAGCAGTGAATTGGAGTGTCCACATTTTGAATAGAAGTCCGACCTTTTCTGTTCAAAACATGACTCCTGAGGAGGCATGGAGTGGAAACAAACCAGCTGTCAATCACCTCAGAATTTTTGGGTGTGTTGCCTACGCTCATGTCCCGGGTCAGAGAAGAACAAAACTTGAAGACAAGGGGGTGAAGTGTATTTTTCTTGGTATTAGTGATCAGTCAAAAGCATATAAGCTTTATAATCCTAACACCAAGAAGATTATAATTAGCCGTGATGTGATATTTGATTAACAAAATTTTTGGGCAGCGAATAAGAGTGTTGTTGTGCATCAAGAGAAACTGGTGGATTTTGATGAAATTGAAGATGAGCAGCCTGAAACTTCAAGTGTGCAGCACCGGTCCACACAACAGCAGCCCGCAGAAACAGCAGCTGATAATTCTGTGCAGACTCCAACTTCAGAACCTCGTCCTCGGCGTGATAAAAGAAGTCGCTCACCAGCAACATCAACTTCAGAACCTCGTCCTCGGCGTGATAAAAGAAGGCCTGGTTGGATGATTGATTATGAGGTGACTGGAGTAAATCAATCAGAATGTCAACTAACACACTTTGCATTTCTTACGGATTGTGATCCCATGGTTTTTGAAGAAGCTATTAAGGAACCAAAGTGGAAAAAAGCAATGGATGAAGAAATTGCTTCTATTGAGAAGAACAACACTTGGGAGTTGGTTGATCTTCCACAAAGGCAAAAGACAATTGGTGTGAAATGGGTGTATAAGACAAAATTCAAGGAAGATGGAGAAGTTGACAAGTACAAGGCACGACTTGTCGCTAAAGGTTACAAGCAAGAGTTTGGGGTGGACTATACTGAAGTATTTGCTCCAGTTGCAAGACATGATACAATTAGAATGGTGGTTGTTGTAGCTGCACAAAATTCATGGCCCATCTTCCAATTGGATGTAAAATCAGCATTTTTACATGGTGATTTGAAGGAGCAGGTGTTCATTGATCAACCTCCTGGATACATGAAGTTTGGATGTGAGCACAAAGTCTACAGACTAAAGAAGGCTTTGTATGGATTAAAACAAGCACCACGCGCTTGGTACAGTAGAATTGAAGCTTACTTCCTGAAGGAAGGGTTTGAGAAATGTCCTTTTGAACACACACTTTTTGTGAAAAGTGGGGAAGGAAGAAAATTGTTGATCGTGTGCTTGTATGTGGATGATTTGATATATACAGGGAACGATTTCAGCATGTTTGAAAGGTTCAAGCAATCTATGATGTTGGAATTTGATATGTCTGATTTAGGGAAGATGCATTATTTTCTCGGCATAGAAGTAGTGCAATCAAAAGCTGGCATTTTTATCTCACAAAAGAAGTATGTGCAAGAGATTCTGAACAGATTTCAGATGTCAAATTGCAATTGTGCTGCTACACCTACTGAAGTAGGCTTGAAACTTGTTCGAAATTCGGATGAAAAGAAGGTTGACAGCCAACTTTACAAGCAAATCGTGGGGAGTCTGATGTATTTAACAGGAACGAGGCCTGATATCATGCATGCTGTAAGTTTGATCAGCAGGTATATGGAAAATCCTAAGGAGAGTCATCTCTTGGCTGCAAAGAGAATTCTCAGGTACTTGCGAGGTACTACTAGTTTTGGAATTTTCTACAAGAAGGGAGAAAATTCGGATCTGATTGGCTATACAGATAGTGATTATGCTGGAGATATTGATGATAGAAAGAGTACTTCTGGCTATGTCTTTATGCTGGGTTCTGGAGCCATCTCATGGTCATCAAAGAAACAAGAGATAGTCACCCTATCAACTACCGAAGCAGAATATGTTGCTGCAACAGCATGTGCTTGTCAAGCAATTTGGCTTAGGAGGATACTTGAAGGGCTGAATTTTGTGCAGGAAAGGGAAGTTAATGCTACTGCAATTTATTGCGACAACAGTTCAGCTATCAAACTGTCCAATAATCCTGTTTTACATGGAAGAAGCAAACACATAGACGTGAAATTTCATTTTATCCGGAATCTCACAAAGGATGGAGTGATTGAACTTCACTACTGCAGAAGTGAAGACCAAATTGCCGATATAATGACCAAGCCATTGAAGCTGGCTGCATTTCAGAAGCTCAGAGCATTGTTGGGAGTGTGTGATAAACTGAATGTTTGAAAACTTTCAGTTTAAGGGAGAATATTAGAAATATTAATTTATTATATTATTTATGTTGGTAACCGATTTGTTTGAGTTTGTCCTAGTCTTTAGGGATATTTGATTGAGTAAGTAGTGGGTGTTGAATTTTAGGAATATATTGTTAGTGGCTTACAGCCTTATTAAGCAGTTTGTAATTCTTGTTATGTTAACGCATCAATAAATAAAACAGCAGTTTTCGGTGCCTCTGCACTCTAAGTTAGCAAGAGCAAATATACTCAACTAACTCTGTATAAAACTTATATATTGTATGTCATATTCAAACAAATAATTGCATGTGATACAAAAAAAGCATATGATAAATAGAATTTACTATAAATTGATTAAATTTGATCAAAAATATAAATTGATAATAAATAAATAAATTATTAATAATAATAATAATAATAATAATAATAATAAATAATAATAATAATAATAATAATAATAATAATAATAATAATAATAATAATAAAATTATGAAGGTTATTAAACTAAATATATACAAAAATAAAATAAAACAAAGAAATGCAACTCAAATTAAAAATAAAATAAAAAAATAATTTGTGGAATTTTGTCCCAGTAACGAAACAAAAAAGATAAATAAATCTAACATAAGATTGAAAATCTGTTAAAAAAATTGTCCCAAGTATGAGATGAATAAACAAGATTAAGTATAAAAGTATGAGCCATGCGTGATGAGCTATTTCTAAAATGTCTAATTTTAGTCCACAGGCAAAAATACACTTCACATGCCTTTTTTTTTTCTGTCATATCACAAAACATTACCTGTAACTATAATAAAAATCTAATATAGATAAAATTGAATACAGGTGTGTGTATTCATATAAAATAAGTAAAAACTCTTAAATTAGATATTATTACCTCTCTGTCCAAATTTCAAATTTAACTGTTTTAGTTGTTGTCATATTTGACGCATAATATGTTATTACTATATGATGACAAACTCTCATCATGCAGTTATCAAAAAATAATCAAAGTAAATTTGTTTGATTATTGAATCATTTTCCTTCAAATTTTCAGAGTCTCTGAAAATTTGAAAGGAAAATGAATTTTAACGTAACTGTGGAGCGTAGCATATTCTTGCTACTTCATCCTTATAATTATACAACATTGAATGTTTGTTCTGCTGCTCCACCAAATATTGTTTCAGATGGATTATGGGGTGGTAAAGATAATGGAAGGGTTCCACTTAAGTCTGCACTTCCTATATTTGAGTTGCAAGTTCTTGTCATTTTCACTATCACACAAATCTGCAATTTCTTCCTCCGACGTTTCGATTTTCCCGAATTCATCGGTCAAATGATGGTAAGTACTTTTTTTTTTTTACGATGATTTAATGGATTCATCAGAGTCTCTTAATCGCTTATGTTTTCAGAGATTCTGAATAGTTTAATGCGGTAATCCGCCTTGCACACTCTCGTTGACAGTCCTGAAATTCAATTCATAATATGTAGTTGAGAGAATTGTATCCATTTTTGCAGGCTGGCATAATTCTTGGACCTTCGATTCGGATGAATGAAATGGACAATTTCAAGTTCTTTTTGTTTCCATATGGAAGTCAAGACATACTTGCATCAATATCATCAATTGGTTATGCACTTTTCATCTTCATTACTGCTGTGCAAATGGATTTGAGTATGGTGACACGGACGGGTCACAAGGCTTGGACTTTCGCGATAACGGGTTTGGTCGTGCCTTTGTTTCTAACTTCTGCGGTTCAATCCTCCATGAAATCATTAGCAAGTGATTATCTCAAAGAGATGTATAATGATATTCCTTATGTGGTTTTATCGCATACTGTTATTTCGTTTGCAGTTGTTGCTTCTCTACTCAACGAACTTAAAATCCTTAACTCCGAACTCGGGAGATTGGCATTATCGTCGGTGTTGGTGGGAGACATACTAGGAACGTCGATCGGATGCCTTACTAATATCTTAATGTTACAACGTGAGATACAGAAGAAGTTAATATTTGGTCTCTCGGGGTTGGCTTTTGCGATCTTTGTTCCGTTGATTCTCCGGCCGGGAATGTTTTTGATCATCAAACATACGAAAGAAGGAAGACCTGTGGATGATGGATATGTTTATCTCATCATTGTGCTTGTATGTGGTTTAGGTTGGATTTCAGTTTACATAGGCCAAGATTTTATAGTTGGTGCATTTGTTTTAGGGTTGGCTGTGCCAGAAGGACCTCCATTAGGAGCTGCATTGGTGAAGAAGCTTCAATTCTTTAGTTCAAGTTTATTTCTGCCTATATTTGTGACGTGTGGTGTGATGAAAGCAGATTTGGGTTTACCACATACAGGAAGAGCTTTTGTTGGTATTGGTGGCTTTATTGTCTTTACACACTTAATCAAAATGATAGCTTATGTTATACCTGCACTCATTTGCAAAATCCCTTTGAAAGATGCTTTGGCTCTTTCCCTTATTATGAATGCCAAAGGAGCTGTGGATGTTGGCATATTTTCTGGCTTATATGATGAACGGGTAGGTAGCTACTGCTATACTTACTTACATAAGCACTTATTTTGTATAAGCTATTTCTTTAACAGTTTCATTTGTATGTGCATTAATGCAGCTTTTTACTGCACAAACTTATGGAGTGATGACGATAAGCATAATGATCATAGCGTGCATCATAAAATGGTCAGTGAAGATACTGTATGATCCATCCAGAAAGTATGCTGGATACCAGAGAAGGACAATCATGAGTTTGAAACCGGAAGCAGAACTGAGAATACTCGCTTGCATTCACAAACAATACAACATACCTGCTATAACAGATGTTCTTGACCTTTGTTCGCCAACAACAGAGAAACCTATCGTTGTTGATGCATTGCACCTTATTGAGCTAGTTGGAAGGACATCTCCCATTTTCATCTCGCATCGTCTTCAGAAAACGGTTTCGTGTGCTCACAAGTCTTACTCGGACGATCTCATTCTTGCTTTGGATCTCTATGAACATGAAAACTTTGGTGGAGTAACTTCACACACTTTCACAGCCATATCTCCGCCGACACTTATGCATGAAGATGTTTGTCAACTTGCATTGGACAAAGTTGCATCCATCATAATTCTTCCATTCCATAGAAGATGGGCTATTGACGGTGGCGTTGAATCGGATGACAAGAATATAAGGGCTTTAAATTGCAAAGTACTCGAAATAGCTCCATGCACAATAGGAATCCTCGTGACTCGTTCTTTGTTACAAAGCAACATGTCCATTAAGTTAGCCATGGTTTTTCTGGGTGGAAGAGATGACAGAGAGGCTTTGTGCTTGGCGAGAAGAGCGATAACGAACCCTAGGATTAACTTGGTCGTGTATCACCTTACAGTGGATCAACACATGCCAAATTTGGAGTTTCTACTAGATAATGAGGCACTAAATGAAATAAAGAAAATAACACATTATGGCCCGGCAAAAGTAAGTTATCAAAAAGTGATGGTAAACGATGGTCCAGCAACATCTGCTATTCTGCGCGATATAGCGAATGAACATGATTTTTTTATTGTTGGGAGGACACATGACGCGGACTTACCTCAGACAGAAGGCCTTACAAACTGGAGTGAATTTTCAGAGTTAGGTGTCATTGGTGATTTGCTTGCTTCACCAGATTTTGAGAGCAGAGCTGGCGTTTTGGTAGTGCAGCAACAAGTCAAAGACAAATAAATATCTTGGGTAAACAGATATGTAAAAGAGAAAACAGAATTGTCTCAGTACATGTTATTTATTGCATTAATTTTGTTATAATACAAGTTAGCTACACATTTTTCAGCTTAATCAGCTACATATTTTTATGCTTACTTTTTGTTCTTGCAAATGCATCAAATCAAAGTGACTTAATTTGAGAATGAATCACGGAAACTGTTTCCTTGCAAGACAGATACTTTATTAGCAAAAGAAATTTTACTCATAAGTAGTAACATAAATTTAATGGATTACCATATCACTGCAAATTTAACTAATAGATGCTCAAACTGTTGATGTTTTACACAAATTTAATACTGCTATTAATAAGAATTGAAGATCTTATGAACCTATACATAAGACCTTACCATTACTTGATAAGGTTTGTCGAAGTCCAAGTCTCTATTTACTAAAGAAAATTCTATTTACAACGTCAACAGGTAGAGCATAAGCTGGGTCTATCGGTTTCAACCCAGGATATTCAAGAAGCGACAGTCCTGCAACAACAAATAAAACAACTTTAGCAAGAGTTCATTGTCTAAAGGGAATATGAAACACAAATAACAGTAACCGTGTTGTCAGGAAAGGACAAACAGCCCTGTTGAGTTACATCCTGTTATAGGTTATTGAATTTAGGACACAATATATGCAACACACTTTTTTTAGGTAAAATTCATATGGGTCTTGTAAATTTTAACAACTAAAAGAGTGTATTGAAAAGTGTGTTAGAGAGTGTGTTGCAAGCATATTCATATGTAATATGAACAGCACTGTATAGAGGTAAAAGTGACAAAGAATGCAAAGTGGGATGAAGAGAAGCTATGTACAATAATGAAGTGAACAACAACATTAAGTCTTAATGACAAATCTCTCTAGGAACTATCTTTTCACCCTATCAACGCTTAATATTATATCATGAAACATGTCTGTTGATATTTGTAAATATAGTGTTAAGAATATTTGTATATAGAATAGTCTCACATCGACTATATCATATAATTAGTTGTAATCTCTCTATATAAAATAATGTCTCCATAGTGTTTTTCAAAACACACGGTTTATTCATATGTCTCTTAGTCTCTTGTATTTCAACATCGTATCAAAGTCTCATTTAAGATCTGGTGGGCCACCTTCTATTAGATTTCTGTTATCGGGACCATCCACCATTTATTTCCACGCTCCAAATGTCTAGTCCTGGGCGTGAGGGGGTGTGTTAAGAGTCCCACATCGGACAATATATGGTGTGAACATGTGTTTATAAGTGGGGACAATCCTCACTCTACCAACCGCTTTTGTAGGGCTGAATTAAGCTCAACCACATTTCTAACATGGTATCAGAGTCTGATTTAAGATCCAGTGGGCCACCTTCTATTAGGTCCCTGAGGTCATTGCAGACACTCCTCCGACACTCTCGCCATCACCAGATCTGATTCTGACACCTGAGTCTGATCTCCTGATTGCCCTTCGAAAAGGTATACGTCAAACACGAAATCCTTCTCCACAGTATATTGATTTATGATATCATCGTCTTTCTCCTTTGCAGTATACTTGTTTGTCTTCTTTGTCTTCTATTTTTATTCCTAAAAATTCAGATGAAGCATTATCTCACCCTGAATGGAGGCAAGTAATGATTGATGAAATGTGTGCTCTTCAAAGCAGTGGTACCTGGGAACTGGTTTCTCTAACCCCTAGAAAATCTTTAGTAGGTTGTCGTTGGCTTTATACAGTGAAGGTTGGTCCCGATGGTAACATTGATCGATGTAAAGCTCGCTTGGTAGCCAAAGGATACACTCAAATTTTTGGGTTGGATTATAGTGATATCTTTTCGCCTGTAGCCAAGATGGCATCTGTTAGACTTCTTCTAGCCATTGCAGCCATTTGATATTGGTCTCTTCACCAACTTGACATTAAAAATGCTTTTTTACATAGGGATCTTGAAGAGAAAGTATATATGGAGCAACCACCTGGATTTGTGGCTTAGGGGGGGTCATTGAATATGGTGTGTAGGCTACACAGGTCTCTGTATGGTCTTAAGCAATCTCCGAAAGCTTGGTTTGGCAGATTCAGCGTTGTAATATAACAGGTTGGTATGGTCTGTAGCGAAGCTGACCATTCTGTTTTTTATCGTCACTCAGCCCAAGGGTGTATTTATCTTATTGTGTATGTAGATGATATTGTCATAACCGATAGTGATCAACAGGGAATACTCCAGTTAAAACAACATCTCTTGAATCAATTTCAGACAAAAGATCTTGGTAAACTCCGTTATTTCTTGGGTATTGAGGTAGCCCAATCTAAAGATGGTTTGGTGATTTCTCAGCGAAAATATGCTATGGATATTTTAAAAGAAACGGGTTTGTTGAATGTTAAACCAGCTGATACTCCTATGAATCTAAGTGTCAAACTACTATCCAATCAAGGGGAGCCTCTATCTGACTCAGGAAGGTATATGAGATTGGTTGGACATACTCAGATAGTTGGATACTCAAATGTTGATTGGGCAGGACCACCCATTGATAGACGATCTACTTCTGGGTATTGTGTACTTGTTGGAGGAAACCTTATATCCTGGAAGAGTAAGAAACAAAACGTTGTTGCAAGATCAAGTGTCGAAGCAAAGTATAGGGTCATGGTAATGGCAACATGTGAACTTATTTGGTTAAAACAGTTGCTCAAGGAACTTCAAATTGAAGAAGCAAGAACAATGACACTTATTAGTGATAATCAAACTGCATTGCACATTGCTTCAAACCCAGTCTTCTATGAGAGGACCAAACATATTGAGATAGACTGTCACTTTGTCAAAGAGAAGATCGAGTCAGGTGACATTGTCACAAGCTTTGTCAACTCTAATGTCAATTGGTAGACGTGTTTACAAAATCCCTGCGAAGCCCCTAAACTAATTATATATGTAACAAGTTTGGTACATTTGACTTATATTCTCAAGTTTGAGGGGAAGTGTTGATATTTGTAAATATAGTGTTAAGAATATTTATATATAGAATAGCCACACATCGACTATATCATGTAATTAGTTGTAATCTCTCTATATATAATAATGTCTCCGTAGGGCTTTTCAAAACACACGATTTATTCATATGTCTCTTAGTCTCTTGTATTTCAAGAATGTCTATATCATTTATATTCAAATCTCTCTTAATGATTTAGTTTATTGTTTTCTTTTGTTTCTCTCTACCTCTAGTTATTGAACTATCTTCCACCCGATCAACGATTCTTATCGCTGGTTCTACAAGTCTACTCCACACATGTACAAAGCACCTAAGAGAATGCTCAACCATCCTTTTATGATTTGTGCAACCCAGCTATCGTGCTAACGTTTCCATACTTAACCATAACTATGTTTGTATAACTCCACATCCATTGTGGCATTGTCATTTCAGCAACAATGTGATTACTTTCTCATTAGCTCTAAAGCCCGACATTCGAAATATTATAACTTTGCAGGATTAATAGTTGTGTGGTAAAGTTTTCTTTTAAACTTGAATGTTACTTTCTATCAAAAAGTATTCTAGAAACATTTCTCCATTTCCACCACAGTACTCGGAATCCTATGGTTGATATCCAGACAGTTTGGATAAACTTTTCAACAAGCACTCTTGGGAAAATAAATTTGAAAGTATACTATAATGGTTATGAGTATATAACTAATAACTTTTTGCATTAGTTGAAATGAGCTTCTACATTTCGACAAATTAAGAAACTTCCTTATCTTACTACTCCATAACAACCTATAATAAATCAAGAACAAATGAACTAAAAAAAAGGAGAGAAAAAAACATTACCGGCCACCCCAAAGTATGTATGAAAGACATCCACAGCATCATCTGGTCTGTCTGAAATTCCACCATTTTCCATGTCCTTATAGTTTCAACATGCACAATATTTCAGAAATTGGTAAGACAAACTCATAACAGTTAACAGCAAAAGAAAAAAGAACATGCTGATTTTTATACACAGATTCCACTAAATAACCTGGCAGTCCAGGATGAACTTTATAAGCTTCTCCTTGCTAATCCAGTGAACCCTATCAATCATGATCAGGCTAGATAGAACCCACCATGAGTAGCATACCTGACATGATCTAAAAATTGGTAAGACAAACTGCAGTAAACCTAAACTTTTTTTTAAAACAACAATAAACGTAAACTTGAAAAACTTTACTCACATCAGGATCTTTCTCTGGACGCCCATTTAGACCACCAGATTTAACTTGTCGCTCACATAACCACCAACCAAGTAGGTCCTTGTCAATAAGATCTAATGACCCTGTTATAGCAAGGGCCCCCACACAGCAGAAAACTGAAATAGGAAAAGCAATTCCTCAAAAGGATGATTCAAGTCTACAACTCATTGCACTCTTTCATTTGGAATTCAGAAAATGAAAAAACCGAAGCAGACTTACTAAACAATACACATTCATTGACTAAAAATTTGATTTAAAATATACATTCCTTAAGTGAACATTCAATACAGTACAATGTATCAAATATTAACATTGCTAAAAACACCGAATTCTGGGATTAGACCTCCTAAAGAGGCTACCTAAAGTACATAAATTAACTACTTCGCGGTTAAAGGTTTAGTGAGATGCCCACAATACTATTAATTCGGAAATATTATTTTTTATTCTTCTCCTACTGGGTATCAGAGGAGAGAGAAACAGACTATTGTTACATAACTTTAAACAAATTCAAACTATGCCCTAAACACACGAAGCACTACCTTCATGTAGGGAAAAAGAAAACAACAAATCTTCAAAAGGAATAAAAGTACATGCATTGAATAACATAGAGAAAGTAGTATTTAAGAAAGATGATGAATAATATATAACATACTTTGTCCAGCATGAGATTCCCCACCAGGTATGCAACCAAAACCACCATCCATGTTTTTGCAACTTATAATGTATTTCACAGCCTTTTCCACATTTATTCTATCCAAGCGACTTAATATCGATAGACAGCAAATAGCAATGTATGAGAACCTAAGACAAACAGTTGGTGGATTTTAGTCAAAAAGTGCAGTAATATCAAAGGCAGTCGACAAAAAAAGGGATCTTATAAAAATACCGGGTATCAACTTCACCCCATATATCCCCTGAAAAAGATCCATCTTCGTTTTGCAGGCTGACAATATCTAACATAAATATTAAGAAACACGAGAACCAGTACTATATTTAATAGTTAACTTAATTTCATTATCATAATTTTGGTAACCAACCTATTATACTGCATCAAAATTCATAACAAATGCAGTTTTATCGATTACTTTAGTCAACATATTGAGTCATTTAAGCCCGACAGAAAAGTATGATAGCCAACCGAGACCAACATCCTGATAAGCGAACAGTATGATAGAATTTTTATGAAAAAAAGTTGCAAAAACAACAAAGTTGTGCCAGTAACATAAAAAACGTGTGAATAAATATTACAGAAACATCAAAATTATGCCGGTAACACAACAAACGCATGAGTAAATATTACAGAACTTCCAAAGTCAGCTAACATGTGTGTCAAAGGATACAACTTGTCACCTTATCTACATCAATAACATCGAGCTTATTAAAGAGAGCCAGCACCTGCACGGCACTGAGTGTATACAAGATATGTGGATCGTGTTCAACATTTCCACCAAATCCTCCTTCAGGAAAACACACATTTCATAAGTTAAGAAAACACAGTATAAAAAAATTCAAATTCTGAAAGTGAACAACAACCTGACTCGTGTTGACAACTGATGATCCATGAAACAACCTCATCAACATCGACAATGTGAAGCTTTCCCAAAATATCAAGGGCAGTCAATCCCCAGTATGCTCCATTCATCCTCAGATGCTCCATTACCACGGATTCAAAACTATCTTTCCTCTGAAAAACAGAATAAAAGAATATTAAAAAGATAATTAACAAGTAATTGATCAACAAAGCAACCAAAAATTTACCTCTTCAACTGATACTATATATCTAACATGTTTCTCAGAAGCTAGGTCTCCCATCTCCAAAGCAAACTATGGCAACGCGTAAACAGAATTGTTAGAATAAAATCAAAAATGAGATTCAAGTTCAAGTTTACTGCAATGAAACTATAGTGATTGAAATGACCTGAATTTGGTGCGGGAAGGGATAGTAAGAAACCTAATTTGATGCGACTTGAAAACAAGAGAGAATTGAAGAATGAGTAAGAAAGTTAATTACCGGTATAGTGAGTTGAGAAGAGGAAGGTTGAGAACGGAGGGAAGGTTCCGGTGCGGCGGATGGAGTGGCGTGAGAGATGTGAAATAGTTACTGACGCGGTGGGGGGAGAAATCGGGCTGATTTGGATGCTGAGTTTGGTTGATTTTTTTTCATTTTGAAATACATGCTATGTCTTAAATACAATAAAAATATGAAAAGATCATTTCTTTAATTCTAAAATCATATGAAAATAATTTCTTTAATTCTAAAATATTATTTTAATCAATTAAAAATGAAAAAATATATAGCTAAAAATTGTATTTTCAAATCAAACAAGCTCCATTGATCATAAGTGATGTCTTCTTTATAAGTGAACTTATTTATATCTGAAGGTTGGTCAGAATCGAAAGCCATCATTGAAGTGAAGTGAAGAAATCCACCATAAGATGAATAACCCTCCTCGTTTATGGAAAAACAAAGAAGAAGTAAATTTTTATTTGAGATATGTGCAATTTTGTTTGTATGAGTTTAGGGTGTATGAAATATTTTCGAAACTTTATGTGTTTGCTATTTTTTGAGTTTAGGGTATTGTTTTTATGTAACTTTACAACAGTATTTTTCTGAATTTACATTTTAGTTTGTTTCCAAACCATCTCATAATTAAACCATTAGGTTAAGAATTCGTCATAGCGGACAATTAGTTGAAAAACCCTGTTAATGGTACGTTAATGGACAAGTCTCTTAAACGAATTGGGAGTTAGATGTGGAATATATGTCATATATGCAGCTGAAAGGTTTGATAAGAAATGAGGGGTATACGAATATCAAGTGTATGTGATACTGGAACCCTAGGTTTAACTTTTCCCATGGCCTTAGACCCCCTTAATTATGACGCTGATGTGCTTAAGTTTGTTGAGGATGTCAATGGATATGAATTGGCTAATGTGTATGTAGAGCATTATGTCGGTAATCCTGATGTGATAGATGAGGAAGTTGAAGTTGAAATTAATGATGATTGTGCTCTAAAATCGGATGATTAGGAAGTAGAAGTTAAAACTATTGATGATGATGTTCGATTTGGAAATGAAAATGTAGATGATGAAGTACAAGTAGTGTAACACCCACATATATCTTTTGTCTATAATTTTTCATAATATACATGATTGTAAATTTGGTGTTGAAATATACAAGTTCATAGTAACACATTGTATATATTACATGCCAAAATAAAACAACTAAGAGCTGCATAATACATACAAGATATTAAAAAAAACTAAGAACTAGACCATTAAAGAATAATCTAAAAACAAATGTCTTTACAGCATAAAAGTCATCCAAAAAGTGAGATAAGTAAGGACAATCAAGCTACCTCGTCCTTACCCTTCGCCGGGTCGGAACTACTTGAAAAACAATCAACAACATGGGGTGAGATGATAATCTCAGTGGGTTCCCTATCTTATGAGTTCTCTCAGATTTACAAGGTTCTAAGCATCTAGTACTTTAAGTCCCAAAGGAAAAAGGAAGGAGACTTGAATTCACAAAACTTGCACTATATGGCAACATGTCGCTTGAGTTCAACAACACAAGCTATCACTAATTGGAAACCATACCAAGGCAACCATCCTCGTCCTCTCGTACGTCTAGGACTTCCGGCACGGGTCATAGATTCTTGTATTATACTTTGACATACGAAATGGATTCGGATTCAAGGTGTTTTCCACGTGAATCGTCGCTTCCCATGGGACCTCTGTCCATCTCAAGCCTTTTACTCGTAGGCTTTATTCATAGACATGGGACTCAAACCTATCAAAGTAATAGGGCTTACATCTCAAATGAGCTCTACATAAGCATCAACTCTTGGGATGACACATCTCAAGGCTTGTTTCTGACTACGTGATCAAATACACGAAGCACGATTGCATTCGACAATCACAAGGCAAACATATTCATTTTACTCACAAGCAACATACAACCAAATACATGTTCCATATAATGCCTCGCCTCACCACTAAACAACTAATTGTCAAAGATACACACCTAGGCATCAAATGCACAAGCATTGTCATTTAAGTCATCCATTTTGTCCTAAGTATCTTGCTACTTCATTTCATTAGTTTTCCATTAAGGTTTCCTCACCATTATTACTTACTTTTAATCATGTTATCACACATCTTACAAAAAATTAATCATGGATAGAAACATGTATAAGAACCACAACAATCCATATAAAGTATGTAAGACATAGCCAAACATATATGCAAAGCAACCAAACGAATAGCAAAAGTATTCATCAAAGCCCTGTCATCATCGCCTAGCGACGGGAAAGCGAGGTTGGCCGCTTTCAGTTCACACTGAAAACTCAAGGCGAGGGACAGATAATAGCAAAATTTCACCATGATCATTGTGCGACCGCAAGACGAAACTTCGCTTTCCGTTCACTTGACCTCACACAGCGACCGTAGCAGGATATGCAAGTCGCTTTCATGTCGCTGGCAGCTCGCTGTGCGGGCGCATCGAATCTTGGATAATCACAAACAGAAACTGCAGTGACCAACTCATACATCAGTTCAATGTTAACTCAAAACCAACATATATATCAACAATTCATCATGAACAACATAAACACAACAAGAATCATGGTATTTTCATGGAAATAGAAACAAAACCTAATACAATTAATATTTCCAATTCTATCTAACAACCCTAACTTAAAGTGTCTACATAAAACCCACCTCAATGTGAAGATGAAGAAGTTGGAATGATGAAGATGAGATGATTATGAATGAAGGATTATGAAGAACTTCTCCTATCTTCTTCCTCTAGACTTTCTTTTCTTTTTTCTTTTCTCCTTTTTCTCTCTCTATTCTCTTACTATCTTTCCAAAAATGTTGGAATGGCAAGGAAATGAAAAGAAAAGTTACTTAGTAGCACCACATGAAAAAGTTGGTAAGACAAGTGGTATGGGTGGTAGCAAAAAGAGTATTAATTAGTAAAATGTCCATATTAATGTTATCGAAATGTCTCAATTGTGCCAATTAATAAAAGGTCAAGGTCGAATATTATTAATCAAACCAATCTGAGCTCACTAGTTACTCTAATTATCCCAAGTGATAATTTTCAGAGCACATAGGAACTCATATGATCTCTGTAAGAGCAATAATTGTCTCTGCATGTTATCTCTATGTTTTGATGATAACAATTAAGTATTTGTGAAAGAACCATTTTATGTTCTAATGTCTGTTGTGTGCAGATCGTTAAATAAAGATATCTAATCAACAAACAATATCAAGAAGTGCATTAAATTCAATATGGAGTTACTTTGTGTGATGTGACATAAAGCGCTTATTAAAGAAGCAAGTTTGCCTCTGATCAGAAAGTTCCAAGGATGATGTATATTGCAGTTGCAATGCTCCTGTGGATTCTGCTCTGAGAAGTACATCTGATCTGAAAGCAAACAAAGCATATTGAAGAAGCAAGTCTGCCTTTGTATCTGATCACGATCAGTAAGATCCAAAAATGTTGTATATTGCGGTTGCAATGCTCTTGTGGATTCTGCTCTAAGATGTGTATCTGATCTGGAAGCTAACAACGCATCTGAGATATAGTCCTCTGAAGACTCTGATGACTTGAAGCTCTGAAGGTTGTAGGCTCTGAAGACGAAGTGCAGAAAGACTCTGAAGACTTAAGGGTTCTGAAGATTAAGACTCTGAAGACTCTGAAGATATAATCCTCTGAAGATCTATGTGCTGAAGACTCTGATGACTTGAAGCTCTGAAGGCTGAAGGCTCTGAAGACCAAGTGCAAAAAGACTCTGAAGTTGAAGATTATATAGCTTCACCCAGACAAAGACGTGTTAATCAGATAAGTTGTTGTTATCCACTCTGATAAACAAGGTGCTGAAGTCAAACAACTCTGATGTTATTATGCTATCATACCAAAGTAGTTTCTGAACTACTCAACAGATACATCATCAGAATAACCAAAGCCAGAAGCTGATATGTCCAAGCTGATAAATGAAGATCACATTGTTTGTGGATAAGAGTTGTCTCCCACAATGATATATTAATGTTACAAGAAAAGGAAAAAGAAAGTGATGTCACTGTACTATCCAACACGTGCTTATTCTATCCGTTGGAAATGACCGTTGGAATATTTGAATGGATATCTCTACCCTCACAACGTCTCTTTTGAATGCACTATAAAAGAAGAAAATTTGATTCACTCAAATGTTAGCTAGCTCATTACAAAGCAAGCTAGCTTGTTACAAAGCAATGATGCTGACGAGTGAAGTTAGCAACATAGTTGATTAACAAGAAAAGCTTTATGCTAAGAAGCTGCAGTGCTCACATAAGAAAGCTTTTAAGCAATATGGAAACTATTGTTATAATAATCTCATAGAGATTTATCTTTAGATTAGTTTCTGTATTAGGAAGTAAGGAGATGTTGCTCAATACTTGCTATGTACTTAATTAGGAGTAATCTGTTTGATAAGAAGCACTCATGTAATCTCCAGCAACACAAATTCTACTTAGAATTAGTGGTTCCTCAAGTGATCTTGTGAAGATCAGAATACTTGAGATGACAAGTGATAGTTGTCATCTGTGGTATCCTAATAGGAGATCTTTTGTGATCAGATTCTATTAGGTTTCAATGAACGGTATATCCTAAGGGATCTGTGAACGTGTCATTGTCTATTTGTTAGTCACCTGCAGTTAGCTTGTGCAACTGTAATCAGTTTGGTTATAGTGGATTAAGTCCTTACTTGAGTAAGGCGAAATCACCTTGGAAGGGTGGACTGGATTAGCTCGAGAGTTGCTAAAGT